AATCTGGGTCAGGTTTGCCAAGTGCCTGTAAAGTTATAGACAGCCCATAAAAAGGGGGCTAAAATGCTTGTCCATAAAGTCCATAAATAACATAGAGACCTCCATAAAAAACTAAGAAACAATGAGCTTGATTGAATATCTGATGTTGATGTGAGGCAGATGGCAAGTGTTGATGGACAGATGGAGCAGAGCAGCACCATCTTGTGTCTGAGTGGGAGTGCAGTGCCTTTGCTTTGTGGCCCATGGGAGCCTCCATTGTTCCCTCCCTCCCTTCCAGCCATGTGCTACTATTGCCTGCCTATTCTATTTTATGCCTGCCTATACTATTCCAGCCATGTGCATCCTATTGCCTGCCTATAATGGCTGCTTGCCTCAAAAGTAGACAGTGCTGCATGGTCCCAGGCAGTTTGAAGCACTGGGTAGGACATTTGGTTAGCTTCACCTGATGGTCAGACCTGTCTAGGGCTCTTAACCTCATCTGGAATACGGTGTGCAGTTATATGCCACTCATTCTGCAAAGAGCCTTTGCCCTAATACCCACAGACTGTGCATGCTCCACACTCTAAGACATGGGGATCATCTGCACCTCCCTGTGATTCAGACTTTTCCTGTAGATCTGTAAGCATTGTGCAAGGTCCTGGGCAGTCAGAAGTTAGTAGAAATTGGACTGTGTCTTGTGACACTTTTTCAATCATCGCAGATGTTCCTGTAATGTTGTCAGCCCCACAATTCATGGACAAAACACCCCACATATAGGGCCACACAAGAGGCACATAGAGCTGTAGGGTGAGTATCAAGGTAAGTGACCATGAGACAGGGAGTGTGAAACAGGTAACTGAAGGAATCCCCAAGGGCTAGGTATGGAGGAGGCAGGATAGCTAGAGGCACTGGGAATAGGGTACTGGTGAAGGTATACAGGGAGTTTATAAAGTAGCTTAGAAGAGCATGGGGGCAGTCTAAGTACAGCTGAGCTTCTTAGCAAGAACTAAAGAATAGAACCTACCTAGCTAGATAAACCAGGGGTAATTTGTTGGGTGGCTGGGCACTGGTTTCAGAAGAGGGATGGGAGTCTGGCAGGAAAACTGGGTGGAGACTGCATGGAGCACAAACTGGCCGCTCCATCCCATGGCTGTGGCACTGAGACATCACTATGATATGCATGGGGAGCCCCGACATCAGATTTTGCATATCTCTGTTCCATGTCCTCTTCTCCCAAAATGAACAAGGTCCTGAATGTTTATGTTTGCATGTAGCAGTACTATCTTGAAATGAAAGGATGGCCAGAGGAACTGTTTGATTGTTTTTCTCTGTGTGAAAAGATGGAAGCAGTATTCTTCACACTGTGGAAATAGAGAACAGGATCTTGGTGAAGCCTCAGAGAAGGGATTTGCAATAATCAAGGCAGAAGGAGAGTAAATTGTGGATGAAAAAAGTCAGCTGAGGTAGTGGTGAAGCAGTGATATGCCTGGACTGTATTGCAGATGTTATGATGGATAGATGAGGAAGAAGTGGACAGACAAGAAATTTCAGGGCCCAGGGTGATGAAAATGAAATTGGCAGTTCAGATAAATAAGTATGAGAGTCAAGAAGGGATGAAGTTGTTTGGGGATGGCACACTTCCCTAGGATAAACTCTTTTGACTTAATAAACAGCAACAGTAACCATTGCTCATTTGAGAATTTTCTGACAACAAAGCCTTAATGACACTAAAAAGTAAATGGTCTGCAGAAAAATTTATTTGGTGTTATTCCCTAGGGTACTTGAAAAAAGAGCTGAGTTCAGCAGTAGCAACAGAATTAGGTCTGAAATTGAAGATAAGCAAAACAAGAATGATTTTGGCTTTGCAAAACCTAATACATAGTTTTTTAAAGGAGAAAACCATGAAGCTGGATTAATTAAGAATGATCCAGACTTTTAAGGACGCAGTGGTCGTATCCAGATGAGCAAGCACATGCCTACTGTGGTGTCTCAACGCAGTTCGAGATGCCGCAAGAGGCATGCTAAGAATGAAAAAATATTCCCCACACTGCATATTTGCAGTGTGGGCTCTAAATTTGATACTGGTAAATCCTGATATAAAAAAAAAGATGCCAGAAGAAGTGGCACAAGGCATGCTCCTGGAGCATGCCCAGTGGCAACTGCAGGCTGGGTCCTCCAAGGGGAGACCCTCTGGCACCCAGCCAGAGCGTCTCTATGGTGGCCCCATTCCCCTTCTGCTCCAGCATGCTGCTTCACACTGTGCCATGTGGAGGGGCGGGCAGAGGACCTCCCCTCCTACACACAGTCTCCCCACCCCCAAACTCCTCCACAACCCCACCCCCACAAACCTCAACCCCACAAACCCTACACCCACCCACAAACCCCCCCAACCCTCACTAATCACACATCCCACCTACAAATCTCACACCCTGTATGCCCAGCCACTAAACGGGACAGGACCTGCCACATTGCAGCCCTGTACCATGCCCACACCAGTGCTGGGACATGCAGCCCCAGACAGGGGAGGGGGCAGCTCCTGGTCCCAGGAACCACTTGGGGGGAGTGATAGGCTGTGGGAAGGGGTGGAGGTGGCAGCAGGGGTATGTGCAAGAGAGAGAGAGAGATGGGATGGGGCAGTGCTTTGGGTAGGAAATGGGAGGTGAGGTATGTGGGGGGACATGGGGTATGTGGGGAGTCTATGGGATTTGTGGGGGGGAGTGTGGAGGTTGTGGGAAGGGGTCAGGGGGGCAGTGCTGAGGGCTATGTGCCCCCCCCACCCTCTGTGGCGCATAGCCCCCAGCGCTGGCAGCAGCAGCCAGCTGGGCTGTTGGGGCCATGGCTCACTGCAGGCACAGCCCCATGGTGGTGCAGCAACACCTGACCTGGGGTCTACACATGGCAAATGGACCTGGCCTGGCCTGCTAGTGTGCGGCTTTGAACAGTACCGGGACAGCTCCTGCCACCACCTGCGGCTCCTGTCTGGGCCTTGGGCCAGGCTGGGTCCTACCTCCAAGTGCCCCACAGGCCGACTCCATGGAAGCAGGACCTGACCTGGTCCAATGCATGGCCCCTGCGTACAGTGCCAGGACCGCAGGTGACAGCAAGAGCAGCCCAGTCCTGCCCAAAGGTGCATGGCCCTGGGCCAGGCCCACACCATGTGGCACTAGCGGCACTGGGTCTGGGGTGGCTGGCGCCGCACTGCACTGTAGGGGGCTCTGCCAGTAGCAGGCCCTGATTGTCCTGTGGCCGCTGCTGCTGTGGGGGGACTATGTGCAATGCGGGAGGTGGGCAGGGGACCCACCCCCCGCCAAGCATTCCCCCCCACCCCCACACAGTCCCCTTAACACCCCTCGTCTCCCTCACACAACCCCCCACCCCCCTGTCCCTACTTACCATGGATGGCACCTGGATCTGGGTAACTGCTGTAGCCTTCCCCTGCTACTATTTGCCCAGCACACTGAGGCAGCTGCCAGTGAACCCCACTAATGTAGTATTTGCATGGAATGATACCATTTACTGTTTTCAATTACTGAACAGAGATAAATGTCTCCAAACTTGTATTGTTGCATTTATTATTCTTTGTTAACTGCATATTAGCAATGTTGAAGTTTGCAGCTCTTCTGCAGACTAATTAATTTCACTATCAGTGAAATGCTATGAATGTGGAGCTCATTGTGCCTCTACTAATTACAGAACTTTCAAAACAAAGAACACTTTCTGGGTTTACTTTATAAAACTCTTGGTTCTCTGCAATCAAAGAAGCAGGCTATAAATATCTTACATTAAATAATTCTGTCTCTCCAGCATACCCTAGAAACACAGGCAAGTATTTAGCACTTCACCTATCATATTTAATATATATGTGTAATATTAACATTTGATAGAGAAATGCAAATTGTAAGACCAAGAAAGTAATCGGGGATAACTGGATTGGCAGTTATGCAACTGAGAAGAATCTGGAAGTTATGGTGGATCATTAATTTAGTATGAGTCAGAAAGCTGATGCAGGAACAAAAAAACAAAATTCAGTTTCGTGTTGCATTAACATAAGCAGTATATGCAAGACATGGGGGGTGATGGTATCATTCTGCTCGGTACTTGTTAGGCCTCAACTAGAGTATTGTGCCTAGTCCAGGACAACACATTATAAGGAGGGTGTAGAGAAACTGGAGGGGGTCGAAAGGTGAGCAGTTAGAATGATAAAGGGATTGGGAAGCAAATCATATGAGGAAGGTTGAAGGAACTACATATGTTTAAATTGGGGAAAAGGAGATTAAGGGGAGTTATGAGAGCAGTTTCCCAATATTTGAAAGGTTGTCATAAAGAAGAAAGGTTGTCTTTTCTTGCTGTAGAGGTCAGGACACAAGTAATGGGCTTAAGGTGCAGCAGAACATATTTGGAATAAATCTTAAGAAAAACATCTTAACCATTAAAACAGTAGAACAATGGAACAAGCTGCCAGGAAAGCTGCGGAATCTCTCTCATTGGAGACTGTCAAGGAGAGGCCGAATCAAATTTTTTTGTACTGTGTTATAGCACTTCCTGCATTTCTGCAGGGGTCAGAGTAGGTGAATCTTGAAGTCCCTTCCAATCCTATGAGTCTTTTGATCCTAAAATCCATTTGCTTTTTCTTTCTGCTTTAATTTAGTTCTATTCTGAGCCCATCTAATTGCCTCTCCTCCCCCTCCCCACCCTGCCTGCCGCCCCCAGGCATGGCCTTAAACACTTATTATATTTATATTGCAGATTCTGTCTACAAAGATCTGACAGCATTTTACAGGCCCAACATTTCATAAAATGCATAACCTAACTTACCAGAGTAGAAGAGCATCTATATAATAAGCTAAGACATTTTGTAATGAATATGTACATTGACTGGAATATTGAAACATGGTTCAAGTAATCTAGGCAGTGAAGAGGGCATTAGTTCTAAGGAGATGTCCTATAGTGATTTCTTGCTTTTTCTTTGAAAAAAAACCATTTCCTTGAATAGCTTTTGTTGGGTTTTTCCCCCCATAAAGGGCTCAGTTCAACAACTAACAATCAAACCAGACCCAAGGGCTACTGAAGACCAATGTGAAGATGATGATCCATATGTAAGTGCTCTCCATTATCTATTTTCAGTGAACTTATTATACTGAGGCTGTTAAGGTCTATGGAAGGTCAGTAGAATATGGTCTATGTTAAGGTCAGTAGAATATGTTTTACAAAACAAATGGTGATGTCTTTTCTTTGAAATACATTGAAATGGTTGGAATTGTTGGTAAATCAGAATTCTCAGAATCCATGAATTTTTAGTTTTCTAATTTTTTTGTGTGTTTAAACAGTGACATTAATTTCCATAAAATGCTCTGTTCGGTGCAATACATTAATTTTATGAGTTTGGGACCAAATTTGAGAGAGAAACTTGTAACTGTAATTGCACCTGCTTATGCCTAAGTGAAAAGTAAAATATAAGAGAATCTGAGGAGCTACATCATACCAGACCGTATCATTTTAACCTCTGGACTTTCATAAGTGATAATGATAAGTGTGATATGATTTGTTCTGTGTAGGCATCAGGAGATACCAGTGGCAATGGCAGCATTCAAGAACAGGAAGGAGTTCCTGAGACACAAGAAGCCATTGCATCATCTCAGCCTCCAGTAAGGATCAATTAATTCAACTTTACCTTCTGGGTATAATATTACACTTATAATAGTCACTAAACTGTGACATTTTTCCCCTTGAAATACCACACTTCTGGGACCTACATTGCACTAGGCAAGAAACCTCAGATGCCCAAATGCCATTTCAAGGTATGGGTGGTAAAGCAATGCCGTATCTTCCTAGAAGGCCAGTGTATTGTATGATTTTTGGCGTTGGCCTGAAGTTGATTTGAAGCTTGTAATTAAACATGAACCAACACAAAGGGAAGTGACAACTCAAGTTTTATTGAAAAATGTGGCTATGTTATGTTATGATAATAATGCTCTGACACATCTATATGTTCCTCTTTGTAGCACCTACCAACAAAATTACTGCAAACTTCATCAGGCCACTTCTAATTTATGTATCGTTTATTTAAATCTGTCTGCAACTCAGTCACCATAAGATGAGTGAATGTCAAGAAATGTGAATGTTTGTTTCTGTTTCTTTCTGCTTTAAAAGCATTTTGTACATTGTATAAAAAACTGAGACTGGACTGAATTGGATATATTTTCTAGAACTGCAGTCTTGATGCTTTCCTTGCAGATTTGTAACATTATGCTAACAAAGCAAACATGAAGAATGCATCTTCAGGAGGGTTTTGTTGTAACTGTTTTAAAACCATAAAAAAGAAGTATTTTTATGCTCTGGATCCATTTTGCGTACACTTTTTTGGGGTAATGGCTTGTCATTTTTGACAGCCTGACTTGAAACAAAGAGCAGTCTGTGAAGTTCTAGTTAGCCTCTTTATATGAGATAATAACCCCATATTTTACATTGCATAGTTTCCTGAGCCAAATAATCGTAAGCATTGGTGGTTTGTAGACTATCACTCTTCTTAAATTGTAAGGTTTTTTTTGTGAATGTACCCTCTTAGGTGACACATGAATGCTTTTAAAAATGTGTTACAGCTGTGTCAGTAGCCTGCAAAAAGGTAGCACCCACATATAGACAATTTGTGAAAGTTATGTGGCCTTTAAGAAAACTTTAATGATTTTGCTAAATGTGAAATGTCTAAATGCCAGTGATTCAGTGGATCTGTATGCCTTCCAGTATGAATGCCCATCAACTTTTAATGTGCCTTTTCTTTGGAAGCACTAAACAAAACACAGCCGAACTTCTGACGTTATTGTAATCAATAGAGTAACTGATAGACGTTTCTGAGAGAGTTTATGTGCTCATAATTCTATTACAAATTGCCAGGCAAACTCACAAAGATCAGCAGTTCAAAGCAGATTCCCATGGTGAGCTGGAATGAAGCAAGGCAAGGGTCCTGCTTGGCAACATAGCTGCTGAATAAAGTAGCTTATCACTGCATGGTCTAGTTTGTGTTTTGCTAAGCAGCACTGTACTGAGCTGTAACAATAGATGGGCCTGTTTGGAATAGTTCAGTACATTTCCATTCAGCAGCTTTTACATAATTTTTCAACACAGTGAATGACCAAGAGAGAAAAAAATGGATAGTCAAGGGATTCTCAACCTTTTTAGACTCAAGGCACCCTCTCAGCAAATGTCAGCTATTAGTTTTCACTTGTGTTTTGACTACGGAAAGATAGTAGAGCAGTTCTGTTGCAAAGAACTCAGAAACACCACAACAGATAAGAGTGTTCTTGACGCTGTGGATCCCTACTTGAAAGTCTCAGTTTGTATGTCTCGGAGGGTGTATCTACATTTGCATAAACACACTTTAGTTAATGTGCATTAAATTTAGTACCTCCATTGTGAGGTACTAAGAAGATAGGCATTAGCCTGTCTTAGTGCACGTTAAGTAAATAGCATGGGGCATTAATACTCATGCTCCGGGAGGTGGGGGGCCTTTAATTAGAGTGACTCTGAGAGCTGCTGTAATTAAAGCTCCCAGAATGTTACATGCATCAGTGTCCCCACACGGAAACAATGGTGGCTGGAGCACTTTAATTAAAGCTCATTGAATGAGCTTTAGTTAAAGCACCCCCAATGCCATTTTTCAGTGCAGGGACACTGATACACATGCCACTAGAGTCTGCTGGAGTATAGTAATTACTATGCTCCAGCAGACTTGATTAATTACAGAGCATCAGAGCAGCCTCGATGCACATGTATAGGCACCTATGATTTTTAGTGATACTTTAATGCGCGTTAAAGTGCACATATAGATGCATCTAAAGAGTGACATTAAAGGTAGCAAAAACATGTATTTACAGAATTCCATTGTTTCTTGAAAAAAGCATGCTGCTGTTCAGAGCAAGAAGTATCACAGAACACAGATGCATCACGAGCAGGTCCAAGGAGGTGATCCTCCCCCTCTATGCGACATTGCTCAGGCCGCAGTTGGAGCACTGCGTCCAGTTCTGGGCGCCACACTTCAGGAGGGATGTGGCCAGCATTGAGAGGGTCCAGAGGAGAGTCACTTGCATGATCAGGGGGCAGCAGGGCACGCCCTATGAGGGGAAGCTGCGGGACCTGCACCTGTTCAGCCTCCACAAGAGAAGGCTGAGAGGGGATCTGGTGGCCGTCTGTAAACTGGCCGAGGGGGAGCAGCAGGCAATGGGAGAGTCCCTGTTCCCCCAAGCACTACCAGGACACCCCCATGCTGAGGCACTCTGCATCCCAGCCAGCCAGGGGGGTGGCATATTGAGGAGGGGGAGCAGGCAGCCTAAGGCTGCCTAATCCCTGGTCTCTGCACAGTGTGGAGCCCTCACATTGAGGCACACTGTGCTTCAGCCAACCAAAGAGCAGCTGGCTGGGGTGCAGGGTACCTCAAGACAGGGCAGCAGGCAGTCCTGCCTGGGCTGGCTGCTCCCCTGTCTCTGCTTGTCTCAGCACGGAGGCTCTGGTACAGAGCCTCCACGCTGAGATATGTAGAGACAGGGGAGTCCTCAAGCTCAGGTACCCTGTGCCCCAGCCAGCTGTGCCTTGAGATGGGGGAGCTGTCAGTTCTGGGCTAGTGCTTCCCTGTCTCCGTTTGCTCCAGTGCGGAGGCTCCACAGCAGGTGGAGACGGGAGCAGGCAGCTCTGGGCTACCTCCTTCCCCATCTCTGTGTTTGTCTGGGCACATGCTACTTTTACATGCTTTGCCCCACATTTTTTATTGGAGCTTTTTTGCTGTCAGGATATCCCAGTAGCAAATTTTGCCCCTGCGTTGCAAATGAGCAGCACCGCACATGGTTTAACGTGCAACGCATGCAGTTAGCGGCACCACAAACCATATGTGCCTACAAGTCTGGACATACCCTAAGAGTTTTCCTGGAATGAGGAGAAGAAACTCCATCAGAGCCACAGAGGTAGCCAATTCAGCCCCCAAAATTTATTGGTTCCTGATTCAATTTTTGCACAAAAGTCGTCAGATCTCTAGGGAATGGTACTATGAGGCTGGGCAGCCTACTGCTTCAGCCCCTCCACACCCAGTTCTCCGTAACCACATATGCCTTCAGTTCCATGTAATGGAGGAGCTCCATGGATGGGGAGGATGCCACTGAAAGGGCAGACCCTGTCTCTTTCCCCCAGCACAGAGAGAAGATTTCCTCAGTACATGTGTAGAGAGGGAATACTTCAGCCCAGTGAGTTGCCCACTGGTCCCTGGGGCTCATATTACACACCTCCTTCCAAATCAGTACACTGGTGTTTATTATTAACCTTTGTGCAAAGTACTACTGCTGCTTTTTTGTCAATACAGGTTATCCTCTCTTTATGCTGTACGTGCGTTCCTGGAAAACAGTACATAACTCAAATTCACATAAGGGGAACCCACTTTACAATGTAACAAATAAGGATACTTTCCAAGACCTTGACTGTACTGACCCCCAGGCCCATTTCTACTACATTTACAAGACAATTTTGGTACTCGCCAACAGCAGAAAATACACACAAGCACAGGGCACTATTGTAATGGGGATGGCAACTACAGAAACACGCGTTGCAATCAACGAGCGAGGGGCAAAAATCCACACAGGAGATGGTATTTTGGTATGCATCAGTTCCACACTGCACTGCACAAAGCAGCTGACTTCAGGCTTCCACCACACTGATCGCATAAGAGTGAATTTACCTTGCATATAACAAATTTTTGGTATAAAAAGGTCATTGCATAAGAGCAAATTTGCACATACAGAACCCGAATAAAGTGAGGGAAACCTGCTTACAGTAGCCTATCCTAGCCAAAGTGATTTATTGTGAAAGATGTAATGAATATGTTTAAATATTAGGTATTTAAAAAAAAGTTATGATCAATAGATTACATTTGTTGGTATGTTGGGCTGTTGGTTTTAAGAGCATTTGAAATACAATAATAGGAAATGCCAGGGGAAAAATGTATAATTTATAAAGGAAATAATTAGATAAGGAATGAATGCATCAATAACTTAGTGCTTTCTGCTTTAGAGCACAGGTATTTGAAATCAAATGAAAAGAATCCTTTTGATAGTGGTGGTCTCAAAATACTATGTTAGCTTTTCAGGAAAACTTAGCTCTGACTTTCTTGCCTACTTCCTTACTCATTGTAAAAAACATTCAGTTATGCTTGTGAGCCCATTTGACCAAATTAGAGACAGTTGTTGCCAAACAGAAGCAAGACCTATTCGATATTTTAAAAAAGAAAAAAACCCCTCAAACAAGTGATCATCAAGGAGAAAAAATCATAAATGTGACGGGGTGTAAATATTGTTTCTTAATACTTGTAGGTTTTATTAGTAACTTCCTTTTAGCAGTAATAAGTAACACATCAAAAGTGCGTATTATTCAGAAGCAATGTTAAGAAGCTGCTCTTTGAACGGAAGTCAAGTCTTTAGTTGGACTTCCTAAATGTAGCATTTCTGATTGCATGAGTGACTGCTGAATCTGGGGTGGGGCACCCGCAGAAGCCACCGATGGCAGTGGCCCTGTTAGGGGGTACCAGCCCTACCGACAGTATCAATGTTGGCTGTCAGGGGGGGCACCAGCCCCATCGCGGGGGAGGGGGGCACGTGCACACCCTACCAGTCGCCTATGTCTGATTGCTTTTCTTTGAAGTAGAACAAGCTGATTGATTCGCGCTTCACTTATGTGGTAAGCCCTTCCTCAGAAAGAATGATAAAATATGTTTGCTTTACCTTTTTGTTAATAAGTTATTGGCAACTTTGTTTTTTTAGCCTGATGACACAACTGCTGAGCCAGTGGAACCACCCCCAACCGTGTCCCCTCATTCTGAAGAAATGGATTTCTCAGGACATCATATATTAGAGGAAACATCTGTAGCACCTACAATCAAAAAACAAGGCACTGTATATTACCAATTTTTAGTTCTACGCTTTCCCAGGGACCAGACTATGCTTTTATCTGTATATAGAAGAGCCTGCATATTTGGGGAGCTACCAACATTATTAGAAATATAAAGAAAAATAATATCTTCTCAGGTATGGGGTCTCTCCTCAGTGTTGGATATGGAGAACTTCATGGGGCACATTCCAACCAGCATGCATGTGTGGTTCGTGGTGCCTCAGATCTGTCTGAGGCACTGCAAATTGCATGCAATGCATGTGCAGCCATTTACCGGGGGTTTTTTGGCAGGTTCTTTTTGGCACCAGGGGATCTTGCTACTAAAAAAAATGGCATGGCACACATGGCAGCAGCGTGCACCACCAGAAACAGAGCCTGGCTGGCTAGAGCCACACTGGCTGCTGGCCAGACCCTGAGTGGTAGGCTCAGTGCTGTGCTCAGCTGTGCTGGCCCCCAGTCTTCCCTACCCCACCCATGTCACTTTGCAACGTGCCAGAGCATGCGTCCAGGAGCATACCTGGGGACAAAGAGCGATGGCACAAATATGGGCTGCTGCTATTTGTCCTGCAGGAAATGCATGCCCCTGCACATGTGAGCTCATCAGGATGCACCCACAGTGTCAAAAACACAGCTTTCCTCAAGTTCTTTTTTGAAATTATCAAACCTGTTCAGACAGTTGGCCTGTGATAACAATGGTTATGGATAGAGACTCGCATCCCACCTGAATGTAGAAGCCTGCAGATCTCTTCACCATGTTTTGGGCACAGTGCAGTAGTGCAAGTAGGGTGGGACAAGTGAGCTGCGAGTCCCAGTTGCCAACAGCATCTGGTAGTGCTCCACACATCCATTCTCTGGCACTTGGCCTTTTGCGCTTTATTCTTCCTTCAAGTCCCCACTCTTCAGCACCTGGCACTGTAGCAAATGGGGCAGGGGGAGGTGGTAAGAAAGGCACCTGCCCTAGGTGCCAGGTTAGAAGGGGTGCTGGAGTGGCCCCCCACCCTCGTGGAGCCCATGATCCAGCACCATTGTGATGTCAGGACTCCAAAATAGTCCTCTGCTGCTGTTGCTATTAAAAGCAACAGCCAGGGTAATCAGCTCCATTGGGACAGTTTTGGAGTCCCAAACTTTGCCTGAAGCCCAAAGGACCATATAGGCAGGCCCTATGTGGGGGGGGGGGAGT